CTAACCTACCAGAGAGAGGTTTAATTTAAACCACTATTTAAGTTGGAGGGTTTAATTTTTATCATTAAAAATTCGTGGGTGTATTTGCAACAACTATTATAGTTTAGGGGTGATTTTTGCAATTTACCCAAGAAAATACTATTAATACTAATAAATAAACATTATTTTTAAAATCTACTCAGTTTTAAATTTTTATTTTAAAAATCTATATATGTTTAGTTTTTAACTTTTGCCTATAATTTTAAAGTGTTTTCTACATGTGGATTACAAAAAACTAAAGTCTAAAAAAGAAAAAAAATTGGAGATAAAATGGTTGTTTATAATTATTTTCTTATAAAATGGAATGTCTGCGAGGGTTTTAGATATTTAATTATACATTAACATTGTTAATCCAAACTATTTAAATAAAAGAAATTATCACATATATATATATACACACACCTATCAGAATAAAGGAAAAATTCAAAGTGCTTTGACGGTTGAGCTATCATAGCTAAGGTAAAAAGACATTATTATATATTATCCTTCCAAATATTCTCCATGTTCATCTCACCACACCAGATATTCTCAACCACATTATATTATATATAACTTACTCTATATATATATATATTTTATCAAAGAAACATTGTATTAAAAAGAAACATGACCACTAAGGGTTACATCAAGAAAAGTGGTGACAATGCACCACAAACAAAAGTCACAAAGAATAACAACTATCTAAAAGGATAGACAAACGATTATTATATTTGGCCAATGAAACAGATTGTCTGTTCAAATGACTAGGAATATGAACAAATTTTAGTCCACTAAAACTTTCTCTAAAGTTACAACATTTTCAACCTCATTTAATGATTTCGGGGGAGATTCATCAATTAATTGAGGGATATTGTCCATCTCTATTTAGGACTTGAAGGGAAATAATTGCCTCAAAAGTTGCATTATCCTCTACCATGATAGGTAACGAAAGATTAGGCAAAGAAAACAATTTGGCTAAGAATGAACTTCCTCCTTTAACATCATTAAATGTTTTACAACTAAGAGAAAGAAATGTGAAAATAAAAGAAAATTATAAAAACATAATGAGTTGTCAAACATTTAAAGGCATTAAGGAGAAAGTTTCTCCTTAACTTTAAGAACGAGTTTTTTTCTTAAGCAAATTCCCCAAATCACGCTGGTCATGGATCTCGATACAATTAACACTAATAGCCTCCATAGATTCCAAAACTGGTGTTGAGTAGACGGCTGCCATACCTCCATCGTCACCCACTTTCTGCTCCATCATCTTTGTCTCTGAACCATAGAAGTTCTCTGAAGCAAAATGCAACGAATTGAGATCTCAGGCGGGAGCCCTCTCCAATTTTGTGCCTGGTAACTCTCCAAAATGCATCGGTGATGGAACCATGGACCATACATAATAATGTTGACTTTGATTTTGTCGGCAGCAACAACATTATCAGTATTCAACACGGAGATCCCCAACACCCGACCACCGCCCGCCATCATAGACACTAGCGGGAAAGAATGATCCTCTTCGAAAGTCGCCTCCACAACAACAAGAGAGATCCTTATAATATCTCGATCCATGCTATTTACTACTTGAAAAAAAAACCACGAAAAAACTATAACAAAGCATAGAGGAACACCATTTGAGAAAAGCTCATCAATAGGACTGAGGGAAAACTCACACCCTTCACGGGAGAAGAATGAGAGGAGGGGAGTCGGCCACTAGCCATCCCCTCCCCATTTTTTTCGCTCTCCTTTGAAAGAACTCAGTCTTTGGGATAGGATAATTGTACTCTTGTCTTGGGATTAACTTACCACCAGTGTTCCAAATGTCGGTCGACACTTCGACATGTAGGTCGACGGTTCGACATTGAAACGGACGAAAAAATTGTTTTTCCCCATATCAATGATATATTAAAATATCGCTGAAATGTCACGAAAATATCGACATCTGGACGATATTTACAAATATCGTCTAAAAAAAATTAAACTAAAAGCCACATGGCCTAAACGAAAATAGGAAGGGGAGGTGGTTTTATAGAGGCCCCCGTCCCTTTCCGATGTGGAAGTGGGACGGGAGGGAGGATTTTCTTTTCTTTCTTTTTATTTCTAATTTCTAATATTTCAATTTTCACTATTAAGTATTAACCTATTTTTATTCTAATTGAATTTTTTTTTCAATTTTTCTTTTCAAATTTAATTACAAAATTTTCAAATTCATAATTCAATTTCTAATAATTCAAATATAATCGTGGTAGGTACATAGGTTTATATATATCAATATTTCATGTCTCATTTATGTAATAAAGCACTATATTTGGTTATAAATGGTTACTTATCAATAAAACATAATTAAGCAACATTGAATTTCAATTTACTAATTCAAATTATTTTCATCAGTCTTCGTTATCTTATTCCGACATTTCTATCGACATCGTCATTTTTATAAATAAGTTACTCATATTTTTACATATGATGGTTAGGAGTGATCAATTGTAGCTTAACTAAACTACCATTAAAGTATTATTTACTAATTAAAATAATTTTTATTATTTTCCACAATTTCCATGATTTTTCCCCAAATATCCATCGACATCGACATGTCCATCAATATGTTCCGTAAAATCGGGACCTCGACATTTATATCGACATAGACATTTTGAACCTTGTTTATCACCATATTTGTTAAGCTACAACGCAGAAAGAAATAATAATAAAACTTACCACCACCTTCAATCTTAAAAAAAATCAAAAATCTTACTACCACATTTATTTTATGTCGTTTACTTTTATGGGATATAAAATATATTATATATTTAATTACAAATGTTGCCTATATGATTTTGGGATTAGTTTCAACCTAATTTTTATAGTTTAGTGCGATCACACAAATTGTCATTAATGACACTATTGAATGTTGGATATTTGGTTGAATGTAATAGTTAACTGTAGTTAGGGTCAAAGAAGGAATAAAAAGTGTGAATCTTAAGAGAAAAAAAAAATGGAATGAATTGTGAGGTTTAATAAAACTTCCTATTGGGAATACTATAAACATATACAGCAAATTAACTTTTAAAACCATTTTATCTTAATTGAAATTAAGTTAAAATCATAAAAATTAAATTTGTAATTTAATTCACAATATCAATATAGCTCAACAACAAAAACATATACTTCTAATTTCCTATCAATCCAAATTGAATCTTTGATTCAAGATATTAAGGGCTTGTCTAGTTGGAAACTCAGATTTTTTTCAGATTCACTGAATCAAATGGATTCGTCGTTTTTTAAAATTATTTTCGGATTCTCTTATCCAAACGGTAGAAATTTTGAAAACAACTCCTTTATATTTTAGTGTTTTCATATTCAGAATTTGACAAGATGCAGAATTACATTAAAAAAAGATAAAAACTCATTTTAAGTTTGTTAAAATTAAAATTCTAAATTATATAACCCTTAGGATAATAATTATACAAAATAAATTAATTAATATAAATTTAGATTAAACTAAATATTTAATTTGCAACTACTCCTGATTTATAAATATATTACTAAACACACAGATGTAATTGTAATTTCATGGCTCACAAGCTTGCTGAAGACAGTCCTCTTTTTTCTCGTAGATATGGGGTTTTAGCTTTTGGATTGTGGATGATGTTTTTTAATTCTTTCTTTTTGTGAAATAAACTTTCTTTCCAAATAATAATAATAATATAAAAATAAATAAATAAATAACTCTATACCCCTTTATTTGTCTACTACGTAATTTTAACCTACATTTCTTTATTAAATATATTATAAATAAACGTGAGAAGTTACCTAATAAGTTTTATTTTACATGAATTTGCATACCTATTTTATTATTGTCCACTTTCAAGTATTTTATTTTATGCCTTAAATTTTATATAGAAAACTACCTTTAACCTTGGACGCTTGCAAACTGAAAACCTAAAATTTAAGTTACGTTTAGTATGCAATTTTTATTTTCAAATTCATTAAATCAAAATGAACTCAGTAAATATATTTTTAGCGGATTTATTTATTGAAAAGTATTTTCGAATTCTTTTAGGAGTGTAAGTGGGTCGATTCGACTCGATTTTGAAGCAAAATCGAATCCGAACCGGCTAAAAATGGTAAAATTATAGAATTCGGAATTGAACTAATAGATAATTCGGTTTATCGGTTCAGTTTGACGGGTTAATCGATTAGACTATTTTTATTTACCCTCTTGCTGATGACGATGCCGGCCACTCGAAGTACTGGGGAGACAATGAAGGGAGTTGGAGAGAGACCTTCTTGCGGTTGCCAGTGCCGACTACTTGGAGCCGAGGGAGACGATAGAGGGAGTTAGAGACGGAGAAGCAGTTTTGTTGTTTTCAATTTCTACTATAAAAGGTGTGTTTGTGAGTGATGATAAAATTAATGATTTTAATCAAAGAGATTTAAGCTTAATTGATTTTCCAAACATGATCCATTGGAGTGATTTTGGAATGACAAAAGTGATTTTTAGCAATTTACTCACAAACGAATAAAACCTACTAATACTTTATTAGATACAAAAAGAAAAAAAAAATTTCAAAAACTCTAACCAAAATTTTAAAACTTTCTAATAACTGTTTTTATATGAGTATAATTGAGTTGATTAAGATAACAGTAAATATTAGAAAATTTTTAATGGTGTAAGTTTCAATCATCTCTATGATTTGAACTAGGATTTTTTTTTAATAATTTAGTTCGTTAAGATATCAGTAAATATTATAAAAATTTTAATGGTGTAAGTTTGAACCACCCCTGATTTGAACTAGAAAATTTTTAAGATAATTTAATTGGTTAAAAACTAATGTATATTTGTTTTTTTTAAAAAAGGGAAGCTAAATTTGGTATGGAACTGTTGGAACATTAAATTTCATCCCAAATATTGAGAGGCAGAGAAATGGGTCCAAGGCCTGTGGCCTGTCGTCCACCCCATGACGGCGAAAAGTGGCGTTTCATTTCAAACAGATTCGAACTTCCAAATATTCCCTGCAATTTCGGGGCTTCTTTTGCCAATCCCATCTCTCCTTCTCAAATTCCCCTATTTAATTCACAAATTCCTCTGATTTCTCCAATACCCATCGAACATGGCGATCTTCTCCTCTTTCTCCTTCCCCATTCTCGCTTCTCTTGCCCTCTTCCTCTGTTTCCTCTCGTTTTCTTCGGCTTCCGATTCCTCCAGCTTCTCCATCATCGACGAAAACGCCAAACACCACCTGGGTTTCCCCGACATTGCCGGTTCTGATGCCGGAACTCCCCCTCTGCGAACCCAGGAGCAGGTTGCGGCTTTGTACAAGTCGTGGCTGGTCAAGCATGGCAAGGCTTACAACGCGCTTGGCGAGAGGGAGAGGCGCTTTGAGATCTTCAAGGATAATTTGAGGTTCATCGATGAACATAATCGGGAGCCGCGGAGTTACACGCTTGGATTGACCCGTTTCGCCGATCTCACCAATGAGGAGTATCGGGCCAGGTTTTTGGGCGGCCGATTCTCCCCCAAGCCGCGTCCTTCCGCCGCCAAGAACGGTAGGTATGCGAGTTCGCTCGGCGGTGATCTGCCGGAGCATGTCGATTGGAGGGAGAAGGGCGCTGTTACGGCGGTTAAAGATCAAGGGCAGTGTGGTGAGTTTTTTGTTTTTTGAATTGTTCCGACGAAAACGATGGCTGGATTCTGTGTTTTCTTTTCGTTTTCTAATTTGGTCTTTGGATCCTTTGACTGTTTGGATTGATGCTAATTTTCCCAGAAAATTTATTAGGAGATCCTTATTTATCGGAAAAAAAGGATTGAAATAGACATTGGATATCGTCTTGCCCTGATTATAATCTGTATTCCGTTCGATTAATGCCCTTTTGATCGAAATAGCTTCGGCCAATCTTTGCCGATCAAATCAGAAAACTCATGGGAACTTTTCCGGGAAAATCTTGTTTTCCAAGAAATCTTTTAGATTGGAGGATTGTTTTAAACAATGGCTTTTCTACACCAGAATCTAGTTCTCTATGCATTGCTTGTACAGATTTTCATTGGTGATTAATTTAACTGGATTATTTCTTAAATGAAGGGAGCTGTTGGGCGTTCTCAACGATCGCTGCAGTGGAAGGAATAAACCAAATCGTCACCGGCGAGCTGATCTCTCTTTCGGAGCAGGAACTTGTGGACTGTGATAAATCATATAACATGGGATGCAATGGTGGTCTTATGGACTATGCTTTCCAATTCATCGTAGACAATGGTGGCATTGACACTGAGGAAGATTACCCTTACAAGGGTCGTGATGGTGTTTGTGATCCCAACCGGGTTGGTCTCGAACTGGTTCATTCGATTCATTTATCGTACCTGGTATCCTAATTTGACTTGGTTGCTAATGTTTTTGTCCACAGAGAAATGCTAATGTTGTAACCATAGATGGATATGAAGATGTTCCTGAGAATGATGAGGGCGCCTTGAAAAAGGCTGTGGCAAGTCAACCTGTTAGCGTTGCCATTGAAGCTGGGGGCAGGGCCTTTCAACTTTACCAATCGGTAATAAGAGCTTTGAACAACTTCTGAACTTTGTTTTGGCTAGCTGTTTCGAATGCTTATTCGAGCATATTCTGTTGTGTGCGTGTTTTGAAAGACAATCTGTGTTGTGTTTATCTATGCATCATTCAGGGAGTTTTCACTGGACGATGCGGAACCGACCTGGATCACGGTGTTGTCGCAGTTGGATACGGTACAGAAAATGGTTTAGACTATTGGATTGTGAGGAATTCCTGGGGCAAAAACTGGGGAGAGAATGGTTATATCAGGTTGGAGAGAAATGTGGCCAACATTACCACAGGCAAATGTGGCATAGCAATAGAGCCTTCATACCCCGTCAAGACAGGAAAGAACCCTCCGAAACCTGCTCCCTCGCCGCCATCACCTGTCAAGCCCCCGACCGAATGCGACGATTACTACTCGTGCCCTGAAGGAACTACTTGTTGCTGTATCTATCAGTATGGAAGTACCTGCTTTGGTTGGGGATGCTGCCCGCTCGAGTCTGCAACCTGCTGTGACGATCAGTACAGCTGCTGCCCCCGCGAATATCCCGTCTGCGACCTTGCCGAGGGAACTTGCCGTATGGTAAGTCACTCAAATGTTGTTCTAACCAAATGCTCATGAGATTCAAACTGTTTCTTGTCCAGTAAACTCATCCAAATTCATATCACATGATGTTACATTGAGAATCTGACCATTGTAAATGGATGAAACAGAGTAAGGGCAGCTTGATAGGAGTCAGTCTGCTGAAGCGCCTTCCTGCCAAACATAAGGGGGTTGTCCAGAAGCTCGGAAAGATGATCATCGGTTCTTGAGAGGCCTGCGATTCTCATCGTGGCCATCGGAGGGTTCGACCATTAGAGCACAGGATGGCAATACGGAAAGCTATGGAAGAAGAAGCTCGATGAGACCCCCATGTAGTTATCTCTGCTCTGGTGGGGGATTATATTTACCTTTGACATTATTGAACTCTGATTTGGTGTTATTCCTATTGCTTTTGAACAGTTATAATGACTTTGTACATTAAATCTCCTCCAAGAGATAACTTGTAACAAACTCCTCTCATTTGATTTGAATATAAAGGTTGGAAAAAACACATTTGTTCTCATTAATTCCTAATCTAATGATTTAGAATTTATCGGATAGAAATTTAGTGTTTATAATTTTTAAACACATTTATCTCTCACCGAATCTACTTATATACGAAAAGGACTAAATTATTATATGACCAAATGTGTATTTTAATATAATTTTTTTCAAAGGACATGTTGTTGATCCGTACAAGGGATATCAAGGTTTTTTTTTCCTTCTTTTATTTGTTCTTAAATATCTTTATTGCATCTTGGATTGGCTGGGAAGATTCGAGTTTATTATTTTAAAATATTAGTTTAGATTTAAAAGTGTCGTTAAAATTCAAATAATGAATGAGATCCATTTTTATATGTTTTGAGTTTTAAGTGACCATATTTAAATTTAATAACAACTAAAATCTGTTATATTTTTTCTATATTAATGAGAAATTTGAAATCTGTTATTTTTTTTAGTACAACATTGTGGGGGCGGAGGTTCGAACTCATGACTTTCTGGTTATAGGTGCCTAAATCATTTGAGCTATGCTCGGTTTAACTCGATTTGGTACTTAAATGGTCATTCATGTCTTTAAAATAAAAAAAAAAGATTATTCATGAATGTTAATTTGAACCTAACTTAGTAAATAAATTCAGGTTTCTTAATTTTCATTAAAATAATGATTTAGTCAACTTTAAAAAGTAACCATTTAATCTTTGAATAAAATGGTTAGTTGTATGGGTTGATTTAACCTAAGTTGGGTTCAAATCAATTTAGGGATTTTTTTAAAAAATTAGAAAGAATTGATGGATTCTCTCTTCCTCGCCACCGACCCGTTGCTCTCTTTCGCGTTTCCTTTCTTAAATCTTTGCTGCTTTAATCTCTGTAGTGTCGACCCTTTGTTTGTTTTACTTGCCTTTCACATTCTGTGCTCTTGATTTTCTTCCTTAGGCTCTTGTTCTTGTTCATTTTCAGTTGTATTTAATCTCACACAGTCATTATTTGGACAGAATGTTGGTGTTGCAATTTCGTTATGTTTCGACTAACTATTTTCTGCTACTTCATGTTTCGGAGTAGTTGTTGTTCGTCGCTAGGTCTACTACATGAACTCAATTTGGTTCTAATGCCTTGTTGACTCACTAGCATTACGTTTTTAAAATGATAAGGTAACTATTAGAGGTTTATATTGTTTATTTAGCAAGTTTGTTAATTGGGAGTTATTGTGTTATTCTTGTATTATTTAAATACACTTCTCATGTACAGATATTTGGTGAAATGAATGAGAAGAGATTTTTTACAACTAGTATCAGAGCTTTCTCGCTTTGCATGCCCTTTTCTTTGACATCTGGCCTCCATTTCTTTTCCTTTGAGGACAGCCGTCTCTTTCATCTTCTTTTTCACCTTCGTCTCCATGGCACCTGTAATCCCACCGATTTCGGTTCATTCTGAACCTTCAATTGATCCTCCTTCCACTGATTCACCTGAAATTTTGACTGCTTCACTTCCTTCTGTAATCGAAGCTGTTTCAAACCCATATTATCTGCATCATACTGATAATACTGGTATTGTTCTAGTGAATCAAGTCTTAACGGAGGAAAATTACAATTCGTGGAGCCGATCGATGTTGATTGCCCTTTCAGTCAAGAACAAGTTAGGTTTTATCGATGGAACTATTGTTCGTCCGACGGGTGATCTTCTACTGGCTTGGATCCGCAATAACCATGTGGTTATTGCATGGATTTTGAATTCCGTCTCCAAAGATATTTCGGCTAGTATTTTGTTCTCTGAATCCGCTCGAGATATTTGGCTAGATCTTAAAGAACGTTTTCAGAAGAGTAATGGTCCTTGAATTTTTCAACTCAAGCGTGATCTCGCCACACTCACTCAAGAACAGCAATCTGTAAGTCTCTATTTCACTAAATTGAAGACTTCTTGGGATGAGTTACAACAATTTAGG